GTTACCACCACCACCAGAAAAATTCTGATTTCTCTGAAGATTTGGCTGCTGAGGGCGCTGGTCATACCATATACCGTTCACCTGCATTTGTTGAGGTGAATCAGAAGAAGAAAGAGATGGACATTCATTAGGAGCATGACTGTCCGTACAGTAGTCACAGACAAAAGCAACAGACTGAGCTTGAACTCCCGCGATCTGCATCTTGTCAAGCCTGGAAGTCAAACTAGCCATTTGTTGAGCTAGCAATTTATTTTCAGCCAGAACTGACTCATTACCTTCTAGATGAAGGCTACCTTTCTTAGACTTTGAAGATACCCCTTGATTTTCATTCCTGGCCATCCTCTCTATCAGCTCCAGAGTTTCATTCGCCCTCATGGTTTTAATAGTACCACCAGCTGCACCATTCAAAACCATTCTATCTTCAGGTGTGATGCCATTGAAAAATATTCTGACTTGATTACCAGCAGTCAAATTATAATGAGGGCACCTCCTCATCAAGTCCTTGAACCTGTTCCAGGCTGCACACAATGTTTCACCCTCAGTTTGAGTGAAGTTGGTGATATCATTCACCATTTGATTGTATCTCTCCATGGAAAAGAACTCTGCAAAGAACTTTGTAGACAAATCCTCCCATGTAGCAATGCTCCGTGCAGGCTGCCTCTCCAGCCAGCTAAGTGCTTCTCCCTTTACAGCAAAAGGGAATAATCTCAACCGGATAGCATCATCAGACACCCGAGGGTGCTTGGTTGAGTCACATATCATTAAGAACCGGTCTATGAACCTGTGAGGATCCTCATGCTCATCTCCTCCAAATTGAACTCTCTCCACCAACTGAATTATGGAAGACTTCAACTCCCAATTATTGTCAGCAATATTCGGTTGGACAATACTTGAATTAGGCCTGTTGAAGGCTGGAGTGAGGATGGTATCCATAAGTGGATTTTCAGCTTCATTATTCGCTGCCATGGTTGGGATTTCAGGTGCTTCTTCAGATTGAGCACTTGGCACTTTTGATTTCTTCTGAGCAAGTCTCCTGTTTCTCCTTTCAAACCTTGTAATTTCAGGATCAAATAACAATTCTGTAGGATCAACCTTGCTTCGCATAAAACTTCAAGAGAAGATTAGTAGCAATGTTCAAAACAATTTAAAACAAGAACAGAAGAAAATAAAATAAAATAATCACAAAAAGAAAGAAAAATCTTGAAATTCAAGATTATAAGATATAAGAAATCACAATCCCCGGCAACGGCGCCAAAAACTTGATACAATCCGGCAAGTGTACCGATCGTTCAAGTAATAAAGTGATAAGTAAGTTATCGTCTCCACAGGGATTGTGAGCGAATATCTTATAAACGTCCTTTCAAGATATAAAACCCAAGTGATTTGAAGAACAATAGAAATTAAAGACAAAGACGTATTTTTGGATTTTAAAAATAAAAGAATGATGCAAAATGATTTGGATAAAAATATGAGAGATATTGCAGGTAAGTACACTCGCCCTATGATCCCCTCTTTTCACTACGGATTGATTCACATTGCTCAATTAAAATAAACAATCAAACAATTTATCTTTCAAACAATTATTAGCTAAACCCCAATTCCTTGCAAATTTAGCCCTTTAATCACAATTAAAACCCCAATTCCTTGCAATGTTTCAATTGAGATCAAGCATTACACAGATAAATTAAACGTTTGTAATCAAGAACGCGTCTATTCCTAGCACGCATGTTAATTATTATCCTACCCCCTTTCTGGACCAAAACCCCAATATTCCTATCTAGGGTTCTAACCCTCAGATTATCATTCACTACTAAACTGATCAGATTTAATATAAACGATAAGCAATACGCACAGAGTAGGCATAAATCAATTAAATTAAAGAGCGAAAAGTAACCAATCCATAACTAAACAAAAGGTTCACATAGGGTTTGTGACCTTACCCACAATGAAGGAAAACTAGCCAAACATAATCATGGCTAAAACTAATCCAATATTCAAAAGCATAAAATTACAGAGAAAAGAGAAGAAGAAGAACTGTAGAAGAATCCTCCTGAGCTCTGCTGTTGGTCTCCTTATGAAGAAATAGGTCGGAATATCAGATCCCTTAGGTCTAGCACAAGGATCCTATTTATAAACTTATTTTTTTCCTTCTTCCAAAAATACCCCCGCGGAAAGACGGTGTTATTTTCTCGCAACCCGGTGCCAGTTGGCGCCGGTTCGGCGCACGTTTGCGCCAACTTGCTGCATCGAATACGAAAGTCGGAACTGATTGCACGTGACACGGCGCCAGTTGGCGCCACCCTTGGTCTTTTGGGCGCCACTTGGCGCCATTCTCCCTTGACTTTGGGCGCCAAGTGGCGCCACTTTTCCTCTTGTTGGGCGCCCTTGTGCGCCATTACCCTGGTCATGAATGTGTGTGGCGCTAGTTTGCGCCACTCTGGCGCCAACTAGCGCTAATTCTCTGGTATTTGGCCTGCGCAGCACCCGGGTGAAATTTCCTATGTGTGGAGTCGCGTCAACAGGCTTTTTGTGATTTGTAATTTCCACTCTTTTTTTCCTGTAAAAACACAACCAAAAGGTAAATATTATTGATATAGAAAGAATCAATATAAATAGCAAATATGCATTTAAATTGCTCTCTTATGACCTGATTCTTATCAATTTTAACATGGAAAAACCACACTTGCCAGAGGCACATCACCCCTATATCTTGTCACGCAATAATTCTCCTAAAAATTTAAGCGATTGGATAAAGGCACTTGAATAAATTTATATCTCTTAACATTCCTGAGATAATTCTTTAGACTTACAAATGTGAATAATGCATAAATTAAATTTTTGATTTACCTTGTGATGAAATTTATTTATTTATATTAAAAAATAGAGATAAAAAGAATCAAACTCTAAATCACTTTATCGTAAATTCTGTATCACGTAGTATGACGAACTCTCTCTAAACTTTTTTTTTTTAATACAACTATCTCAAAACTTTAAACCATCTTATGAAGGTATAACAATAATTTTATTATATTTCTTGATGTACATAACTTTTTTTATTTTTTCTATTTCTCCCCAGAGCCACATTGGCTGCTAATTTTTCAAAATTAATCATTTTTTAAACGTGAGTAAATGACTATAAATAAGTTGAAGGGATAAAGTTTAATGATTGGTACTAACTAAATTTTGTTGGTCTTAACTCATTAATCTTGCTTGCTCCTGGAGAAAAACAAATGAAAAAAAGTTAACTCATTTTGTCTTTTCTTACGCGGCATTAAAATTTTACTTGACAACTTGATAAATTATTTATGTGTTTTATTTCTGTTTGAGGCAAATTTTTAAATCGTATTTAATTTATCTAAATTTTAATATATATCCCCGTCGCTCTTTTTAAAATTTTGATATGCTTTAGTTTTAGAATGAGAATTCTTCCCCTTCTTCAATTTTCTTGTAGAAAAAATACACACTTACTTTAAATAAAAATCAACTTTAACACATTATTCTTTGGGATTTAAATTTCTTCCTACTTACCCAAAAAACTGTGGAGTTTGCCACTAACTTAAAAAAAAATAAAAAAATACACATAAATCAATATATTAGTAACAAGAGAATACCCTTCTCCGATAACAGTAGAAGTGTATTCCCTTATTTTTTATCCAGGGTTAAGATTCTATGAATTGAACTTTGCTTTTGGGTTCTTTATGTTGGGTGCCGGGCAGAAGAGGTTAAAATAGTGGAGGGCAATATTTTTAGAAATTTTTTTTCTCCTGGATATAACTTTGTATCATTTTAGATCATAATTGTTAATTTTCATCAATTAATGGTTAAGATTTATTAAATTAAATGTATTAATTAATTATTAATTTGTAATAAACTCAATAAATCCTAACCATTAATTGACAGAAATCAACTATTAAAATTTAGAATGACATAAAATTACATATTTTAAAATGACAAATTTTTTTTTTCCATATTTTTATTATCATTTAAATATTTAATCATATGTCATCTGACGTGTCGTGCTCTTTATGGAGGAAGCAGCGCTTATTACACAATTAGGAAATTTGCGTCAATAATAATGCAATTGAAGATGAGATTAAGAATGGATATAGCTAGATGGGATACATTCATTGATTAAAGTACTACTGTCATGTGGATCCCCTATTTCCCCCCCTCTTTTTGAACACTTTCTTATTCGCCATCATGCTCTTTGATCTTTTCTTGAAAGTTTGTATTGAGGGAAAGTATTTTTGGTGCTCTCATTTTATACATCATTTATTAAAAGGAAAAGTTATATTTAGATATTCAAAAAAAAAAAATTATATTTATAATTTTTTTTTGTTTATAAATTACATTAAGTATGACCAGTCATACTTCAATCAAGAGTGTATGATCAGTGATATTTAGTATAATTTGTAAAAATAATTTATAAACGGATCCTTTCCTTTTTTTAAATATATAAAATATAATATCTTTTATACTATTTTCATGCTTATATCCCTTATTTTTTTTTTATTTTTAACAAAGGAATAGTACTCTTATTATACTGAAAAAGAACTCATGGTTAGGGATACAGTTTTTTGCCAAAACAATTTTTTGGAATTCTTCCGGGGCAAGAGAAAAACTGCCTCTACCTGAAAGGGGTTAGTCTCATCTTTCATTCAGTTGGGTAGGAAACCTTCAGATTATCTAAAAAAAAAATATTATTTCTCAAACACATTGATTTGATAAAAAAAAATTTAAAATTTTCTTTAAATGGGTGAAAAGCCCTAAAAAAGAGACTTATTAAAAGTCTAGAAATACATTAACATATCATAAAATAAGTAAAGATAGATTATGTTTACAAATTTTTTGTTTACATGTATTATCCATAATATATAATATAATTTATAAGAGTTTTAAATTTTTTTTTGTAAATATAACATTTTCTTGAATAAGTAAATGTTATTAATTGAAAGATTCCAAATTATTTCAGAGTCACAATTGACCATAAATATCCACATTTCACTACCCAATTTTCGTTGTCCCTTTCTCCTTCTCAAAAGAGCTACAAACCTTCAATGGCAGAAGAAGCCAACCACAGCATTGACAGCAACAATGTCCAAGAGCTTCCAAAAGTGGTTGTTCTTGGTCTTGCAAAATGCTTCTCAATCCTTGAACAAAAATTCTCTAACAAGTTCCATTTCCTCAACTCCAAAGCCTCAGGTTTTTTCCCACTGCAACAATTCCTCATTGATCACAACCACCAATCTTCATCCATTCAAGCCATACTCTGCAGCGCCTCCGCTTCCGTCAACGTCGACGTCCTCCGCCTCTTTCCGTCGCTCGGCCTAGTTGTTACCACCAGCGCCGGAACTGATCACATAGACTTGAAAGAGTGCCGCCGCCGGGGAATTCAGGTTGCCGGCGCCGGAGAGTTGTTCTCGGAGGATGTTGCTGACATGGCGGTGGCTTTATTGATCGACGTAATGAGGAAAATTTCTGAAGCGGATCGGTATATGAAAACATTGAATCACTCTGGTCCTTGGGATTTTCCTCTTGGCTCCAAGGTTTTATATTCATCTTATCTTATTTCTCGTATTTTTTTTTGTGTGGTTTACGTTATTCAAACTAGTCAACTTAATAATAACAGGGAAAACCCCACGTTATTTATGCTGAAAATAAAATAAAATTCTACCACTGATTGTAATTATGAAAAAGGATTCGTTTACAATTTTTTTTTATAAATTTTTACAAATTATACTATGTATTCTGGAAAGTACATAGTGTAATCTAGTGTATTTCGAGAAGTACATAATGTAATTTATAGATAAAAATTTGTAAATATAACTCTTTCTTTATAATTATATAATCTAATGAGTATATACTTATAATATTATTTTTTTTTCTATTTCTTCAAAAGTTGTCAGTTGATCTGAAGAAAGATATTTTTATTTTCATATCATAATTATCTATTACCTGAAGCATATAATTATAATCTGTGACAAGTTTTTTTTGCACTAGCAGAAAAAAAAGGGACCCATAATAATATCATCATTTTGAAATCAATTTGTATAGATATATATTTTTTTTCTGAAACAAAATAATTTAAATGACATCTTTCGTTAATTAAAGGAAAAAAAATATTTATGCTTTTGTTGTAAAAAAAATTTCTATGCTATATCATATAAAAGTGAGTGGACTAGTTTGAAGTAAATCCTGAGTTTTGAAAAAATTGAAAATTCTTCAGCTGCATAGGCCATTTATGAGGGAAAGAAAAAAGTTCAGTAGTCCATATATTATTTGAAGCTTAATATGTACGTATGAAAAGGAATAAATGATTGGTGTTTCAGTTATCAGGTAAGCGAGTTGGGATTGTTGGATTGGGAAGTATTGGCATAGAAGTTGCCAAGAGGCTCGAGTGTTTTGGTTGCATTATTTTATATCACTCTAGGCATAAAAAAACAGCTGTTTCTTACCCTTTCTATTCAAGTGTTGTTGAGCTTGCGAATAGTAGCAACGCACTTGTGGTTTGTTGTGCACTGAATGAGCAAACAAAACATATAATTAACAGGGAAGTCATGTCGGCATTAGGAAAAGGAGGATTCATTGTGAATGTTGGAAGAGGGGGTCTTATTGATGAAAAGCAATTGGTGAAGTGTTTGATGGAAGGTGAAATTGGTGGTGCTGGTTTGGATGTGTTTGAGAATGAGCCTCATGTTCCTCAAGAGCTATTTGCAATGAATAATGTGGTTTTGTCTCCACATGCAGCTGTTTTTACTGAAGAATCTCCAATGAATTTGTGTAAACTTCTGGGAGAGAATTTAGAAGCCTTCTTCTCAAATAAGCCCCTAATTACTCCAGTGATGTTGGATGAATAATAACTGATTCTCTTGATAGCTTAGTATCATGTAATGCAACTTATCTTATCCCTGCAATGATTCTTAAATTGTTAATGACCATTGTTCTATCGTTCTAAAGATGTGATGCAATTTTATCTTATCTAATGACATGATTTGTATTATGGGCCAATCACATATGCCTATTTCGTTGGGTTTGTCAATAAGTTCTAATAGAGGAATTACGTCTTTAAACCTGTAAAGTGAGATAAATATTCTCTTACCTCATCTCATTTTCTATGCATAAACATCTCATGCATTAGGTGAGGATGTTTGTCTCATACCTAATGGAACCCAAAAGGGCAAAACAATTATAGGTCTCTCTCATTTGAGATTTTTCCCACTCCTATAAATGCACATTTTTTCCGTTTGAGAATGCATGTAGGTTAGGTAATGGACAATACATGTGTTTGTAAAGTTATTCTCTTATTGTCACGTTTTGAATTGTAATGTAGGGGACTAAATTGTAGTGAACTTTTGCCCTATTGATCTGGAATTCCAGGGGCAACAAGTCATCAACAACTGCTACTGTAATCCAGAGACATTGAACAATTAATATATAACTTTTTAATTTCTCTCCTTTTGTAAGTATTAGTAAAGGCAAAAATATTTCAGTAAAATTTAATGTAATGATTTTTTTTTTTTTAATTTGTGGTCCCACTTTTTTAAAAAAGATGTCTCTGTGGTAGACATCCTTCTTTTCCTTTAAGGCAGATCCGACGGACCCGTTAGTAAATCATTGCGATTTGGGTTTTTTTTTAAGGGAAATATTAGTCTACTTTTACATGAGGTAGCTTATCTCATTTTCTCTCACTTCGATTTTCGCACTTCACTTTTTTTTATTTTTTTTATTTTTTCTTGTAATGGTAGGACCCACTTAGTTTCTCTCTACAACATAAGATATCTATCTTATGTAAAAGGATATTAATAAACCCTTTTTTTAATCATTATCACAAGCTCTAAATACCTTCCTTTTAACAAATATGTCAATAGATAATTGCAACAATTGATCACACAATTTTTTTTCTTGATTTAGTTAAATAAACTGTTTTGCCAATAGAAAAACACTTTTAGCTCTGTAAAATAAAAACTAAACGTCGTTGCATTTGATTAATAAGGTTGATCACTTTGAAATTAAAAAAGAAAATATACTCTAATTTTCCCCCGTATATCTTGTCACACAATAATTCTCCTAAAAATTTAAGCGATCGGATGGAAGACAATTGAATAATTTTATATCTCTTAACATTCCAGTGAGACAATTCTTTAGACTTACAAATGTGAATAATGCATAAATTAAAATTTTGATTTACCTTGTGATGAAATTTATTTATTTATATTAAAAAATAGAGATAAAAAGAATTAAACTCTAAATCACTTTATCATAAATTCTGTATCACATTATATGACGAACTCTCTCAAAACTTTTTTTTTTAATACAACCATCTCAAAACTTTAAACCATCTTACGAAGGTATAACAATAATTTTATTACATCTCTTGATGTACATAACTTTTTTATTTTTTCTATTTCTCCCCGGAGCCATGCATGTTGGCTGCTAATTTTTAAAAATTAGCCATGTTTAAAACGTGAATAAATAACCGTGAATAAATTGAAGGGATAAAATTTAATAATTAATACCAACTAAATTTTGTTGGTCTTGACTCGTTAACCTTGCTTGCTCCTGTCCTGGAGAAAAACAAATGAAAAAAAGTGAACTCGTTTTGTCTTTTCTTACGCGGCATTAAAATTTTACTTGACAACTTGATAGAATTATTTGTGATTTATTTCTGTGTGAGTCAAATTTTTAAATCATATTTAACTTATCTAAATTTTAATATATATCCCCGTCGCTCTTTTTAAAATTTTAATATGCTTTAGTTTTAGAATGAGAATTCTTCCCCTTCTTCAATTTTCTTGTAGAAAAAATACACACTTACTTTAAATAAAAATCAACTTTAACACATTATTCTTTGGGATTTAAACTTCTTCCTACTGACCCAAAAAAACTGTGGAGTTTGCCACTAACTTAAAAATAAAATAAAAATACACATAAATTGATGTCTCACTAACAAAAGAATATACTTCTCAGACAACAGTAGAAGTGTATTCCCCTCATGAATTGAACTTTGCTTTTGGGTTCATTAACTTTATGTTGGGTACTGGGCAGAAAAGGTTAAAATAGTGGAGGGCAATATTTTTAGGAGAGAGTTACGTTTACAAATTTTTTATTTACAAACTCTTATAAACTATACTATGTTCTCCTGGGAGAACACTAGATTGATAGAAATATTTTAACCCTGAATCATGTATATGATTATAAAAAACCAAATAATATAAAATCAAAGTTGGGATTGTGCGTACCTTGTTGGATCATCATAAAGACGAAAGAAATAAGGGACTACATGCCAGATCTTCCTCTCTATCACCTATTTCGATAAAGGCAGCCTCAGCGATGGGAGCATGATGGCTTATGGGACTTAACCCCAATATAAATAGGCTAGAGAGGGGACCTAGCTAATAACCGAAAGAAGAGTATGTGTCCACTAGGTCCACCCATCATGAAAAACCAGAGTCACACTAAAACCTACACTGCTGCCCAACTAGGTCAAATAACAACAGATACCAGAAGCCCAATTCAATGTGATCACAATGGGCTAATTACAATAATAATATTGGAATATCCACTAACCCGATTAATTTTAAAATATAAAACTAATTAATTAATATTTCCCATAAAATAAAATTTCTAACATTCTCCCACTTGGGCTATATTAATTAATTTAATATTATTTTGAAAATCATTTTATTTCGAAAACGACTCTATCAGGTTAATAACTAAAAAATAATTTTACGTGGCCACAATTTTGAAAAACAATATTCCAATTCCAGCATTTCATCACAACAATCCAACATAACCTCATCATAGGAATATGGCGATCAATATACCAAAAATATCATGGCATATGACCTTTCTTACTCACATACAATGAGTATTACATCTTCATGAACAAGGCCTAGTAGTGTAGTAAGAATTAGTGCAAAAATGTAATCAACAATGTAACACAATAATTCTTATCGGTCCTCAATGTAATTTTTTAACAACATGAAATCACATTAGTGCAGTTTCCAAGCAACATGAAATTACACTTCTTGATACAATTTCTCAACAATATGAAATCGCATCACCACAATTTCTAAACAACATAAAATTGCTTTGCTTAAATAAGCCAGTATGTCATAGTACAACATGAGATCTCAAATATTTTGACATCCAATCACCTTTAAGCTCACAACATGCTTAAAGATATTATTCCATACATATATTTCTCAGTCGACAGGAGAAATAATAATGATGGTCATCACACAAAATAATTATCAGTTTACATAGAAAAGTAACCAAAAAACAAACAAACTGAATATGACTCCCATTAACCAAAGGAATCAAAAGAATCTAAAATATTCAAAAGCAAGCCTTGAGTATTACTCCCATTAATTAATAAAATAAAAAGAATTTAAACCCATGTTCTATACACGAATGAAGCTACTCTAAGGTCTTTTTTATCAAGGCTTTTAGATAAAAAAAACCCTTGTTTTATTCAATAAATCAACATCTTACTAGCAAATAAAATGTCATCCACATAAAGTACTAAGAAAATATATTTACTCCCACTTATTTTCATGTAGATGAATCAATTAATGAGCATACACTGGCTTCAGGGATCTGTCCATTTCCTAGACCAATGCACCTCCAATAATTTTATTACAGTTCAACTTCCAATTAAAACACACAATAATCCATAATACATGGTATATTTTGTAAACAAAATTTTTTATATATAAGTTTCCTTAAATTAGTAATTGTTAATTGAAAGATTCCAAATTATTTCAGGGTCACAATTGACCATAAATATCCACATTTCACTGGCCAATTTTAGTTGTCCCTATCTGTTTCTCAAAAGAGCTACAACACTTCAATGGCAGAAGAAGCCAACCATAGCATTGACAGCAACAATGTCCAAGAGCTTCCAAAAGTGGTTGTTCTTGGTCTTCCAACATGCTTCTCAACCCTTGAGCAAAAATACTGTAACAAGTTCCATTTCCTCAACTCCAAAGCCTCAGGGTTTCTCCCACTGCAACAATTCCTCATTGATCACAACCACCAATCTTCATCCATTCAAGCCATACTCTGCAGCATCTCCGCTTCCGTCAATGCCGACGTCCTCCGCCTCTTTCCGTCGCTCGGCCTAGTTGTCACCACCAGCGCCGGAACTGATCACATAGACTTGAAAGAGTGCCGCCGCCGGAGAATTCAGGTTGCCGGCGCCGGAGAGTTGTTCTCGGCGGATGTTGCTGAAATGGCGGTGGCTTTACTGATCGACGTAATGAGGAAAATTTCTGAAGCGGATCGGTATATGAAAACACTGAATCACTCTGGTCCTTGGGATTTTCCTCTTGGCTCCAAGGTTTACATTCATCTTATCTTATTTCTCGTTTTTTTTTTTTTTTTTTTTTGTGGTTTACATTGTTCATACTAGTCAACTTAATAATAATAATAATAGGAAATCCCCATGTTATTTATGCTGAAAATAAAAATAAAAATTCTACCACTGATCATAATTAATATGAGAAAAGATTCGTTTACAAAATTTTTATAAATTTTTACAAATTATACCATATACTCTGGGAAGTACATAGTGTAATCTAAGTGTTTTTCGAAAAGTACATAGTGTAATTTATAGATAAAAAATTTGTAAATATAACTCTTCCTTTATAATTATATACTCTAACGAGTATATACTTATAATATTAATTTTTTTTTCTGTTTCTTTAGAAATTGTCAGTTGATGTGGAGGGAGATTTTTTTTTCCATGTCATAATTATGTATATTACCTATAATATATAGTTAATAATCGGTGATAAAAAAAAAATTTTGCACTAGCAGAAAAAAAGTGACCCATTATAATATCATCATTTTGAAATCAATTTGTGTAGATACTTTTTTTTTCTGAATCAAAATAATTTAAATGACATCTTTCGTTAATTAAAGGAAAAAATATTTGTGCTTTTGTTGTAAAAAAAATGTCTACGCTTTATCATATAAAAGTGAGTGGACTAGTTT